TGAAATTTCGTGGTTTTGCCTCAGTTTCCATACAAGCTTATCACAAATTTGTACTTATACCAATGAAATATTCACGAAATTGGCAAATCACGAATAATGAATCCACAATAAATGTAATCCACAGTAGCCAAATTTATGAGGCTAATCACTGGATGTAAAAATTTCTTTTAGAGATGTGTCCATAAAGTATTTTTTTGTTGACAATCATTGGTAATCTTGATTGAATTCTTTTACAACTTTTAAAATAGACTGTTGGCTTTTTAAAACTTGAAATAGGGTATATAACCTCTTGTGTATCACTAAGCACCTTATTCTAACCTGAAAATGTCTGATTTTGTTGTATTATTGGGTATCTGTCTCATTGACATATTACACTCATCTCATTTTATTCATTTACGGTAGAGCATGTAAAAACCATGCTTGTCCACCCACGGCAAATCATACCAGAGGTGTTCTCTGCTAATTAAGTTTTTTTAACAGTTTAATCATCTTTCCCACATATTAAACTTCATTTTGACCTTATCAGTAAAGATGAATTATCTCTATTGTCTCAAAATTTCCTTTGATCTTTCTGTATGATGATTTTTCCATAGAATACTATTTGATTGATATGGAATTTTCTCAGTCGAGAAGATAGAGAATGTATGACATAATGAGTCTATGTCATTGGCATTGTCTAGGAAAATAGTGATACATAGTAATGGTCTTTCAAACTCTAGAATGTTTCTTGGCTACACCTCATCTCGGGGCTATTGTCCCTTCACGATATTACAGGTTAGATACACCGTCTCGTTTGAAAGACCGTCCATAATCTATAATTACATAATATGCAATTTCAAAACCATTATTCTATGCCATGATTTATCATGACTAACTTAAGATCTTACCTTCATCATAACTATAACAATTGCGACAATGTAATTTGTTGACCCTAACTATCTCGTCAGCCCCTTGTACTCCATTACCAAGGGTGAGGTGATATACACAACATCTAAAAAACTGTACATGTTAGTATCACCCTAGAGACTCTATCACCATGGCCGCTCCAAAACCTGCAAATGTCAAATATGATTAACTGCAATCTCAGAATTGAATGTGTGCATTTATTATTGTCAATCTTCAATAAATGACAAAAAGATGACACTAATTAATGCAAATCTTGTACAAATTGTTATTGTGTTAAATAATTATGATGTTTGTCCTTGCATATTTTAGAATTATCAAAAATATCACATTAATTTCAAAACTTACAGTAATTGCTAATCCACCTTATTGAATTCAAACATCATGTTCTTTAAAAATATCATTAAAGTATGCAAAATTCCAATTAAATCAAAATTTAGGTCAGTTTCTGATTAATGATAGAAGATTTTTTTTTTAATTCATATCCAAACTCAGTACAAAGGAGTACGCCCGGTAAGACCCCTTTTTGGCCCCAAAATATAGCATTTAAAAAAAATATTTAAAATGTAAAGGTTGAGCTATTTATTGGAAAGAAGAATACTTTTGTTACATAAATATGGACTGTTTTTGACAATACACTGCAAAATTACTGAAATCTTCACATTTTAAGCATTCGTGCTAATTTTAGACGTTTGTCTAAAATGGAATTGGCCGCACTTAAGTTCAGTCTCATATAAAGGTTGAGACTGAACACGAATGCGGCCACTTTCATTTCAGACAACAACCATCTGAAAAGTAACGTTTTGTGGCATATTTGATAAAACTTTCATATTCAAGCTTGAATTTAGGCATCTTTGATTACCAAATCAGTTCAAGTCTTTTACATAAACTATTTGATTCGACTGAAGAAGACACTTAAGAGTTTAAAAAATGTCAAAAATCTTTCAACAGATGTACTTCAAATTTATGGCCAAAATAAGCCCTTACCAGACCTTGTTTTTTTAATGTGAATTTACAGTGCATTGTTTTTTTCACATTTAAATAGTTTTTTTATTTTTGTATTTTAAAGTTAATACAGTAAATATCTTTTTTTTTTTAACTTCTTTTTCATATTTTGTGGTTATTTATGAACATTATTTTGCAATATATTTGATGGTTGCTGCATAAATATGGATAATTAGGCCTTGCTGTACATTAATAGCTTTTTTTGAAAAAAATGAAAAATTTTAAATCAGCAAAAAGTATATGCATTAAATAAATTGACATGTTGTAGTCATATTTTTTTCAAATTTTAAGGGAGATAACTCATGATATATTTTTTTACTACTGAAAGTCATAAAATGACTCATATTATTAGAATTCTTTTAAAATAATAACACCTGTCCAGGCTTTGTGGTCTAATAAATTCAAGTAAAATTGTCGTACTCAGACTTTCACTATTCCAAATACTGGTTTCGGTGTTTCAAGCACAAATTTTGTACTCCCAGTACTGGGTAAAGTTTTATGGCCAAGAGCCCTGGCTTTAATATGTCAAAAATTACACAAGATACAATAAAAATACATAGTAACCTTATTTAAAGTATTCACAAATACATTTGGTATTAATTTAATAATAAACATATATATTCCAACCTACCGAGCTCTTGACTACAGTGTGAACAAAACTGTTACCACTGACTGCTACAACCTGTTCAGCATGACTTTTGGGCGATGAAGGTGACATGGGTGATGACATGAGGTTCTAGTTGATGATGAGAAATTGATGTTAGAACTACGACCTGGCTTCGGTGGTACAGCAGGCATCGGTTTTGGTTTATTTCTAATATTAAAATTTGCTGGAAGTGTCTGATTCATTTTGTTTTGAGATTTAGCACTAAATTGTTTTAACTTCAAAACTTCTCGTGTTCTAAGGGGACAGTGACCGAGGTGGCTGACCATGTCTGCCGTACTACCAACGATTAGATAAATTATCACTCTTTGGTTGAATTGGTCCTGATTGAAAGCCAGGAGCGTGACCCGACTTTCTCCGTCTTTCAGCCTCTTCTATTAACCAATGTTCATTTTAGCTTTCAGATCTTGAAGAATGTTTACTTCCACTATCACTATTTTGAATCCAGTCTTGTGAACTGCGAATTTTTAGTTTTGGAGCAAGTTTGGTTAAGTTTGATCCATTCGTTTTTAGAGGAGAATACCTTTGTAAATGTTAACGGACGTTGACGGAGGACGACGAAAAGTGATGAGAAAGGCTCACATGGCCCTTCGGGCCAGGTAAGCTAATAAAAAGGGAGATATTAAAACATTAAAACATGAGAATCTAGAAAACTTACTAAGTGATTGTTTTTATGAAGCCTAACTGTGCATTTGCTGTTCGGTGTGAGCCAATGCTCCGTGTTGAAGGTCGTACCTTGACCTACAATGGTTTACTTTTATAAATTGTTACTTGGATGGAGAGTTGTCTCATTGGCACTCATACCACATCTTCCTATATCTATTTGTTTCTCTGGCTTTGTTTCATAAAAAAATAAATAAATTTGGTGTATTTACTGTCTTCTGATTGGTTAAAAGTTTTACCTTTATTTTCAATGTTGTCAATTTTTATGGCGACACGCCCACAATGACGTTGTGTATTCATACGCCAACATGTGTGTACGTTGTTATTGTTAATATAAATAATATAAAAAGCTCTTTGAGCCTTATTTTTGATAGAAATTTATTTATACTGAATGACAATAGTTTATTTTGAATTTATTGAACCATAAAATTAATTTTTTACTCTTCACATTTTACATAATCCGCCTCGCGGATTATTCAATGTGAAGAGTCAAAAATTAATTTTATGGTTCAATAAATTCAAAATAAATAATAGTCATTCATTAAATGATACAGACGCTATGTTACAAACTTGCAACCGATCGTGTGTACAAATCGGTGTGGAGATGAGGCATGGAATTATAAAATTGTAAAACACAGAAAGGGAAACGGTAAAACTCCTGGAAACGGTTCTATATGAAGAACACCCATCAGTATAGGATTTCAGAAGACTTCAAAATCTTCTTCCGAAAAAAAAAACAGTTATATTTTATACATTTTTCTTTAGTAATTACACAGAAACTTTATAAGTTGCTGATTAATCTCCCCCTTTTTTCATTTTAAAAAGGCAAATAACATGTTGTTAATGTTAGTAGATGATGATTTAAATCATATTTTATACTTTCTGAAAGTTATTTACACGTCATGAATCACATCCATGCTTCATGTTAGAATTCAACTGCATTTTCAAATCTAGTCATGAAACAGACCTTGGCTGGATTAAAAAAAATATAATTAGGTCTTATACACTTTACTTCATCATGACATCAATTTTTGTTTTTTTGGATCAGCACCCAATAAACTAGTAAGATATATCAATTTAAGTCTAAAGAGCTAAAATTGGCTCAAAAGAACAATTTACTCAGATAGTTCTTTCATACTATTAAAATACACTTTATTCCATGGATTTGCTCAATTCTTATTTTAAGCATTTTCATTTTTTTTTAAGAAATTCTGTTTTTGAAACATGGAAATAACATAGAGATAAAGCACATAATGGATGCACTGAAAAAATGTATAATTTACTTTGTTGCAAAAAACTCACCACCTACACTTGCATTAGAAATCTGTTACTCGGTAAACTTAATGTTGAGTATGCACTGGACTGTAATTGTTGGTGATGATGTTGTGATGTTCCACTATTGTTTCAGGTAGGGTGAAGGTTGGTGCCTATTGAAACGTTTAAAGCTGCTGCATTTGTTTGCATCTGTCCTAAGTCAGGAACCTGATGTTCAGTGTTTGTCGTTTGTTGATGTGGTTCATAAGAGTTTCTCGTTTCTCGTTTTTTAATATAGATTAGACCGTTGGTTTTCCTGTTTGAATGGTTTTACACTAGTCATTTTTGGGGCCCTTTATAGCTTGCTGTTTTCGGTGTGAGCCAAAGCTCCGTGTTGAAGGCCGTACTTTGACCTATAATGGTTTTATTTTACAAATAGTGACTTGGATGGAGAGTTGTCTCATTGGCACTCATACCACATCTTATTATATTTATATAGAGACAAACTGAATACTTTGTTTATACATTTTATTATTATTCATACATAAAATGTATTTGATATTATTTGCAATATTTATTGCTGCACTATGTCAGCAAGCTTCTGATTGTAATTAATTATAACAATATTTATATTAATAATAAATAAGCCAATACATAAATTGTTCTATGGCAATGCATGATATATAAAGCGATCTTGATATTTTAAAGGAAAACTTCCACTAATATGTTTAATGACCAGTAGTGATTCCAGATTCTGGTACATTGTATACAATCCAAAATAAATGTATACTCCTGAATGCTTACAGAAGTGTTCTTTGAGATAATTAACTAAACGAAGCACTGAATTTTAAAAACTGATAGATGATACAACAATGTCTACATTCTGTTTCATTTAACTTCAAATAATATTTATATTTCAATGTTCAAATCCAGTGCAATTACAGATATTCCAGTTTTATAAAATCAGATCAGTAAATTGTATATTCTTTCAAAAAATCAAGATTCAGAGACAATGACATCCTGATTCTACAGGAACAAACGATAAATGAGAAAAATGGATAAAATTTCTACAAGAAACTTTGAAATTCTATTCCAACAACTTAGCTAAATACTGTAGTATATTTCATTTCTAAATTTGACTGAAATAGCATACAACTATAGTTTGTTGTGATATGGATGTCATCCTAACAAATGAAAAATCAAATTAAGTAATAACCTATATAATGAACCCATTTTTTTCAATAATGAGGATTTATCACCTTTAAGCAACAAAATAATAATTTCTTAAATGTAGCAAATTCTTGTTGGTCATAACAAAATAAGTTAGTTCCTGACCACTGTCATAGTTTCTCATATATATAACACCTCTAATTACAATGTCATGGATACATATTCTATGTGAACTATACTGCAAAACCTTAATAGCAATTTGTCACTATTTGAACTGTACATTTATGTTGCAAACTCTCACAGATATTTCGATATACATACAGACATATCATCATTCATTTCTCACTCATAACACCTTGTTAACTTCCAATCGCTCATACAACTCTTTGAAACAACTAATGTCACCTTGATATAGTTCATTAAAACTGTATACTAAGTCAATAAATTTTACTTAAAAACTCCTATGTTTACTTCATAAAAAGAGCAAAACTATTTTAGAAATTTAGCAACTGCACAGTTTTTTACTTCTTTTTATTTTCATTTTGAAATCTTGTTACTATAAAGAGACTAATATGTTGTAACAAGTAATTTTGCATCGTATTTAGTCTATTTACCAATGATCATTGAGGACAGAAATTGGATTTTATATATTCTTTTTCAATACCAATCCATATATCATGATTAAGAAAACAAACATATATTGATTTATAGAGCCAAAACCCTAACATTGCATTTGTTCAATAACAAATTATTTTTGTTCTAAGACCCCAAAATCACATTTCCCTTTCTCTTGCAAACTATCATCCAAGACATAAGCACTTATATTTAATAAGAAAAATATATTCTAAAAAACAAATTTCCTACAGCTTTGAACTCAATTAAAAACAATCGTTACACACAATCATTCATTTGCACAGACATCAAATATATGGACACAAAGTGGATTGCAGCTTCCCATTTAAACAATATATATTAAAAGGAATGTTATTTTAGTACAATTAAATATACATACAATGCTACTTATAAAATTGACTCTATGTAGAAGGGAGTTAAAATGGAGACACAATCATGAATATATTGATATATACTAAAACATTTTACAGAATTATACAGTTTGTGTAAAAAAAATTCACATCTCACTTTTGATCACAGCTAACAAGAGTTTCATTTGACACTTTTATATATATATATGCACCTACAGTCACTAAATTGGACATAACACATATTTGATTATATATTTTTACATAACGCTGTGTTTTCACTTAATTAACATCCAACATTTCATCAGTTCAAACACAAAAAGTCATCAATTAAACACAAAACAAACAATTTCAATGATAAAGATGAAGGCACATACAATTTTTATTGCATCCATATTTATAACAATCTGAAATATTTCACAGGAAATGAAGCATGAACTGACCCTTGTAAAGTAATGATTTTGTTATCTCTATTTATAAATCTATATCAAATAACTATTTATATATTTATCCTGTTTTCTTTCTATTAGTTAACACATATATATGATATAGCCATTTTAAAAAAAAAATTATGAAGTTCTTTTTTTTACCACAGTGCAGAACATTCACTATTTTTTTTCAATTGTTATTTTAATTTAAAGATATAAATTTTGCCATAATTTATGTTTCTGTAATAACATGATTTACCCAAGATTCCTTTATAAAAAAAATGCAATCACATCTACAAAGTCTGGGGAAATTTCTGGATTTCAAAATAAACTAAACTCCTGTTTAATTACTAGTTAATTTATGACAAAGCAATGAAATGAAGCTTAGTGGGGTATGGACCCACAGATTATAAGAGTATGTGAACTAACATTACTTATAAAATACTATTGATCAGATTACGTGTGGGTTGCTATCAATCAGTGAATATCACCATTGAGAAACAGGGAGTTTAAATATATTATATTCTGAATCCCTTCTTTGATAATGTCATTAAATATGCAACTCTCAGATCTAGATATATATGTTTTGTTGTCATCTTATCAAATGGCATTTTATATTATATGTAACAAATTGTTTTTATTTAAATTGATGTCTAATTTATGTTTTGTATAAGTATACTTTTTCAGAATAGCATAGAAGCTGTCATCAGTATAAATAGCAGAATGTCGTTTTTGTCCTCTAATTTTTGTTCTTAAATATGTCTGATTTGTTGCGTTTTTACAGCGTGATCAACAACTACTGGTGATATCACATGACTCCAACTTGGCCTGAACATTCATTCTAATTTATCCACAGGAATAATCCTATAGCTTCTACTGACCCTTGGAAGAAACATTTTTATGAATCTATGTTGACTATGTCCAATAACATATAAATATGATTTATCATATTACATATATATATGATTTATCATATTTTTTTCAAATGCAGTTGTCATGGTTATATGCTGTTTTCTATCAAACTTTGCTAAATTTCAATCCAGCTGAAAAATATAAGAAAAAATTGATATAAAAAATACAAAATTGGATATCAGTCTCCTCAATGACAGACTAATTGTAATACAGTTTTTTACAGATATACTAAATGAAATTTCATTTATACTTGTACATGTAAAACCTAACCCTAATCTCAATTTTGCTAACATCTATTTATGCAGATGAATGAATTACAAGTTTATATAGTAAGATAAATGCTCATTTCTACATACTTTTAAATAAAATTAACATAAATAGCAACAAAATTTTGATTATTATTCATGGAATATTATTTTTCGTAGAATTCCATGATTTTGTTGGTAAAGTTGAACAATGAAATTAAGTGTTAAAAAAATGAGCTGCATCGGATAGAAATAGACCTTATGCAAATGAATATCAATACATCTATTATCCTATTTTGGGTTGAAAAATCTCTATGCATATCTTGTAACTGTTTGAAAATTCAGTTGTTATAAGAACCCTACAAAACAGACCAAAATTAAAATCAGTCTTATACATTTACATGTATATGTTCACTTGCATAAGGTCGGTTTCTATCCGACGCAGCTCAAACATAAATCCCCCCCCCCTTAAAAAAAATGTGTATGAAGAATGTGTAAGAGCCATGAAACTATGTTTCCATGAAAACAAAACTTTTACTCAATCTTCAGAAATTTGTACCCACATAATACTGTGGATTCATTCATTTTCTTGGGTACCAATTTTTTTTGTTTGAGAAACTTGAATTTTTCATGGATATTTGATTTTTATGTTTTGCCTATATATGCATACAACTTTATAACAAAATCATGCTTCATTGAACATATAAATATGTGGTTTACACAAATATCTATTAATTTTCCACCAAATTGGCAAACCAAGAATAGTGAATCGACAGTAGCCCAATTCAGGAGCCTCATCACTGGTTGTAATCATTTCTTTTAGAATTTTGTCCATTTAGGAATTTAGTGTTGACAATCTTTGGAAATCTTGATTGAATTCATTAACATTTGACATAGGCTCTTAACTACCTTAAACTTGAAGTAATGTCTATCACTAAGCACTTTATTCTAACCTAATGATGTCTTGGTTTATTGCATTATTAGGTATCTGTCTCATTGACATATTACCCACATCTCATTTAATTCAATTACGGTAGAGCATGTAAAAACCATGCTTGTCCTCCCACAGCAAATCATACCAGAGCTATTTTGTGCCAATTCAATTAAGTTTTTTAACAGTTTAATCATCTTTCCTACATATTAAACTTCATTTTGACCTTATCAGTCCTACATATTAAACCTCATTTTGATCCTATCAGTAAAGATTAAATATCTCTATTTTCTCAAATTTTCCTTTGATCTTTCTGTTTGATGAATTTTTTTATATAAGACTACTTAAGTGATATGGAATTTTCTCAGTCAAGAAAATAGAGAATGTATGACATAATAAGTCTATGTCATTGACATAGTTGTCTAGGAAAATAGTGATACATTTTAATTTATCTATGGTCTTTCAAACTCTAGAATGTTTCTTGGCTACACCTCATCTCAGGACTATGACCCCTCCATGAGATTGTAGGTGAGAAACACCCTCTCATTTTGAAAGACTATCAATGATCTATTATAACATAATATGCAATTTCAAACCCATAATTCTATGCCATGATTTATCATGGCTGACTTAAGATCTTACCTTCATCATTACTATAACAATTGCGACAATGTAATTTGTTGACCCTAACTCTCACATCAGCCCCTTGTACTCCATTACCAAGGGTCGAGTGACATACACAACATCTAAAACACTGTACATGGTAGTATAACCCTAGAGACTCTATCACCATGGCTGCTCCAAAACCTGCAAATGTACAATATGAATTACCGTAAATTCCAAATTCAATGTGTGCATTTATTATGGTCAATCTTCAATAAATGACAATAAGATGACACTAATTAATGCAAATCTAGTACAAATTGTTATTGTGTTAAATAATTATTATGTTTGTTCTTGCATATTTTAGTATTATCAAAAATATCACCTTATTGAATTCAAACAACATGATCTTTAAAAATATCATTAAAGTATGCAAAAATCCAATTAAATCAAAATTTAAGTCAGTTTCTGATTAATGATACAACATATTTTTTCAAGTTCATAGCCAAACTCAATACAAATTTGAGTGAAAATTTACAGTGGATTTTTTCACATTCAAACAGGTATATGTTTTTGTATTTTTATGATAATATGGTAAATATCTTTTTTTTCAAAGTTCTTTTTCATAATTTGTGGTCATTATTAACATTATGTTGCAAAAATTTTTATGGTTGCTGCAAAAATATGAATGCTTTGGCTTTGTTGTACATTGACAGCTATTTGACTTGAAAAAAGAAATATTTTAAATCAGCAAAAATCATATGCATTTAATAAATTGACATGTTGTAGTCATATTTTGTTCAAATTTTAAGGGAGATAATTCATAAAAACATTTTTCAGACTAGATTCACTATTCCAAATACTGGTTTTGGTGTTTCAAACACAAATTTTGTACTCCGAGTACCAAGTAAATTTTTATGACCTAGAGCCCAGGTTCAATATGACATAAATTACATAAGATACAATAAAAATACACAGTAACCTTATTTAGCGTATTCACAAATACATTTGGTATTCCATCAATAATAAACATATATATATTCCAACCTACCGAGCTCTTCACTACAGTGTGAACAAAGCTGTTTACCACTGACTGCTACAACCTGTTCAGCATGACTTTTGGGTGATGAAGGTGACGTGGGTGATGATATGTTAGGTGAGGTTCTAGTTGATGATGAGAAATTGCTGTTAGAGTTACGACCTGGCTTCGGTGGTACAGGAGGCATCGGTTTTGGTTTGATATTTCCAATATTAAAATTTGCTGGAAGAGTCTGATTCAATTTGTTCTGAGATTTAGCACTAAACTGTTTAACTTCATAACTCCTCGTGTTCTGAGGGGACAGTGACCGAGGTGGCTGACCATGTCTGTCATTCTGCCAACGATTAGATAAATTATCACTCTTTGGTTGAATTGGTCCTGGTTGATAGCCAGGAGCATGACCTGACTTTCTCCGTCTTTCAGCCTCTTCTATTAACCAATGTTCATTTGGGCTTTCAGATCTTGAAGAATGTTTACTTCCACTATCACTATTTTGTATCCAGTCTTGTGAACTGCGAATTTTTGGTTTTGGAGCATAGTTTAGACCATGTATATCCTCTTTAGATAAAGTGTCTCTTTGAACATGATTATCATTTGCATTATTTGACTGTTCATTTTCAGGCCGCCTACTGAAAGGCTTTGCCGTCCTATTCATTACCAACATATCCTCTCTTGACAAATTTTCTCGTTGCTGTGGTTCCTCTTTTGGCTGACTAGATCTCCATGAGGAAGAAGTATCTAATGTTCTTGGTGTGGAATTTGAATTAGCATAGGCAGAAAAGTGATGATTTTCTGGCCTTGTCCTTGAATATCTATCACTTCCATATTTATTATCACCATAATTATTATATTGGTCACTATTCCTGTTATCATTTTGCTGTTTACTTAATTCCATCTTTTCACGTTCCATAGATGCTTTCATTTCCTCAATTCTTTGCTTTTCTCTTTGAAGTTTCTCCTGTAAAATAATGAATACAAATTTTATAGTCAGATTTATTCTTCAATCTGTGTACATCTGGTTGCTTGAGGTTCAGGTATTCTATACAATAGATATCATGTATAAGCAACTTGAAATAAAGCCAGAAAACCATGTAAATTTTTCAATATTGTGTTTTGGTCTAGACTAGGAACAATTTACAGCTTGTCATAGGCTTAGGGCACTTGTCTATTTCTGAAGGTCATAGTCTTACTCATGTAGTGTAATGCTTATAAATTGATTTAGAAAATACTTCATTTCATCATATTTCTTACAAATAAACAGTGCAATCTTCAAACCTGATAACTGGTTATGTGACAAATACACTTCATTTGAGATATCTAGTGACATTCAATAGTTATATTTATCCACCCCATGTATTTTTTGCCAGTGTAATCCTTTAACCTCATAGAATTGTTGAAAATTATTTATCATAAGAAAGTTCATATAACAAGTGAACATTTCAGTAATTATTACATTTTACAAGTACAAAGCTATGATCGAATAGAGGACCAGGTGCTTTATGCTAATTTGGATGCATTTATTTATTATGTTATGGATATACTTAAATAATTGCATAACATGCATGTTTTACAAGAATCCTTAACAATCCAGACATTCCAAAATTAAATTTTATTTCCCAATAAAATGAAATATTCATGACAGCATGTGCTACCCATGACAATGTATAAAAACAAACTAAAAATTTGAAATAACTATTAATTTGATGGCTGTAGCATAAAAATGTAATTTTATAAATGAATCCTTCTATAGGGTTGTAAAGGGTGGATCATGCAAAATGTTTTGTATGTAATGCTCCCGTGCTTCATATAAAATGTGATCGGACAGAGCTTTTACACTTCAATAAAATTACCAAAAGAAGCATTCAATTCTTAATCCATTATTTAAACAATTGGGAAAGTTGAAATGTATTCTTGCAGTTACATTGTTGCAATACACAACACATTGTCTTGACATGAGATCGGTTAATGTGTTGTCCTACTATTCATATAGACAAAAGACAGGTACAAAAGAATTCCCTGTAATTACAAATCAACATTTACCTCTTCCTCCCTCAATTGTGCCTCTTTCTCTTGGAATCTTCTTTGTTCTTCTTCCTCCCATTGTCTCCTTTCGTATTCCATCCTTTCCTTTTCTTCCTGCCTAATTCTCTCCCTTTCAGCTTCAAGGTCATATTGTAACTGGTCTTTTTCTATTTGAAATTTAGATAATTATTATTCAATGAATTGAGCTAAAAATCAGTGGGACTTGGCCGGTTTTGTCTAATCTTAATTCTCCAATTGGTACAGAGGTGATGATTGAATCAACAAATCATTTATATATATATTTCTTTCTTTTCTTTTCAAGTCTGCAATCCTATTCAATGATGACTTTTTTTTTAAATGACACAAAAACAGTGTTTTAGAGTGTGAGCAATTGCTATATCTAATAAATTCTGTGAGTTATGTTTCAATCAAATGAATATGTACAAAAGACATTTAGCTATTTGCATAACGATTATAGCATATTCTTTCAATTTATAAAACAATATCCATGCATGATGTCTACTTTTAATTTTACTGGTTTTTAAGTTTTATGACAAAACTAAACTTGTCTGCTCTATGGTCGGGTTGTTGTCTCTTTGACACATTCCCCATTTCCATTCTCAATTTTATTAACTATTAGAGTTACCTTTGGAATTCTTGTTGTCTCCAATGTTGAAATGGAAGTTGTACTGTGGAAGACTTATATCACTACAAATAAATAGAGAAACAAATATGTATTAGTTAGGTTGATAATTCAGAATTTCGGAGGTCTTTTACTTAGAGGGGTGATCCATTAGCTTTGAAAATAAAGAATAGACTCTATACAAGGAGACATTACATTTGTAAAGTTTCAGTCCATAAAAAATTGTGCATAAATGTCATATTTTTTACTTATGGATTACTGATTATATTTGTAATTAGACTGAGTTTGACTTTGGGGAGTGATTGTAAGAAATATTGGCAGAAAGCAATTTGTAGAGTTATGGTTCTATCTGAATAATAAATACAAACATATATGAATGTTCACATACCTTTCATCAACTCTGTTTCTGGGGTCTATGACCAGTGATGAACCAGAGGCATTGGTGGTCTGAGAAGGGGCAGACATATTGAAAGTCTGCATTGAAGGTTCTTGTGTAAATTCTAATATGACAGGCTGACCAACTACTGCATGGGGTTTACCACCATTTATATGATTCTGAAATTAATTTATATCATCAACTGATGTCTTAATTGTTTACAAATCATGCTCTCTTGAAGCCTAAAATTACTTTAAACTTGTAATTAACTTTAACATTCCTGTTAATACTCTAAGACCTCACATTTTTCAAATTTTTGCAAATTCTAATTATCTCCCTTTGACTGTTATCCATGATATACAACTGTTATATACTGTAAATTCAGGAATTAATGTGTGCATTTATTATAGCTAATCACAGATAACTTGTAAAAATATGTGATCTAACTAATGTGATCTAACTAATGTGATCTAACTAATGTGATCTAACTAATGTGATCTAACTAACGTGATCTAACTAACGTGATCTAACTAACGTGATCTAACTAATGTGATTGAAAAAAATTTATGAAGGTAAATCACTACTGAAGTTATGAATGCAAGTTTTTATTATTGTGAAACCTGATACTATCTCATTTTTTACATTTAAAATAAAAACACGCAATAATTTCTTAATTTAGAGTATTCAAATAGCTAATGAACTGAACCAATTGGCCCGAGAACACAGTTATTTCGTAGTGCATTTCTTTTAGACAATAAATTCAAATTAAAAAATTCGCACCTGCTCTATCTCAAAAAGATTTTTACAGTGTAGCGTACTACTATTGATACAAATAATATCAAAATTATAGAAACTTCTACCAGCTCTAACTCAAAATATTGACAATTCTGTGTTAAGGGGGGCTAAAATTCAGTTTGACAGCTTCAGACATTCTAATTTTTGACCTTTTTTAACTGGACCAAATCACTACTTAACATAAAGATTCAGCACCCACATTTTTTTAACATGTAATTTCATCCCCTTACTTAATATTTCATGCATAAAATATCAAGAAATAAATTGGGAAAGTGTATCAGAAAAAAATGCAAGTTATATACTGTTCACACTAGGGACTATATTCGTAGACAACAAAAACCAAAGGACGATAACTGTGTCCTTGGACCAATTACAAATAACTTTTTTATTCTTAGTGGTTTATCATCAAAGTTTGAAAAGATGACGATGATGATGATGATGATGGATGGCTGCTTAACGTCCAGTGGCAAGTTAATATGCATATTCAGGAGGAGAACATGTTAATGTAATATGAATATTTACCCTGCTTTGTACTAGACCAACACATTTGAGCCAGATTTTAAAACATTGCTATTTTGCAAGGTGACAGTCCACAGGAAGACAGGTCACCTTACTTGGACACATTATTCTGACTCCGAGCCGACCAGCTTTGCTCTTACTCCTTATTGCCAAAGTTTGAAAAGAGAAATTATTGATAATATTGTTACACCAACCTGTGCAATATCATCTTCAGGAAATCGGGGAGAAGATGCAGTAGAATCTAAAGAGGCAGCACTTAATCTTTTGTCATCATTATTAATACTACTGCTACTAGAATATTCTGACCGTGGACGAGGTCTTTGCCATCTTCGCAGAATTTCTGGTGGACCAAAGCCACCAGATGATTGGCTGGGACTAAGATCATCATTTCTATCTTCTCTATGATTTGTATGTACAGGAAGTTCTATGTGGTTCACTTCAGGCTTTGTTGTTCTGGTAACAGGAATTTCTCTAATTCTCCGAGAAGTATCTGAAAAATATTAATCAATGGTTAACTGATTTTTTAAATATTGATGGCAAAAAAATTTGCGAAATACTATAAAATAAAAAAAATTGTAATCATGAAACATCGGTATTTTCGTTTGTGATGTAAACAAATGATCCAACACAGGTTTGGTTTACACCAAGCTTTAAGAAGTATGGCACTTATTATTGGACACTTAGCATTTCTCATTTAGAGTTTTGTATGTGGTCAGCTATACAAATAGCAATGAAAAGATGCAATACAGATCAATATATAAGGACTGAAAATTAGATTGGGAGAATTGAATTCTATGGATCTTCTAGGATTTTAATATTTTTATGTCAAATTCACTCCGCAGAGGTCCAACCCTGAACAGTTGGGGCAAAAATGGACACAATATTCAAGCTTGATACAGGTTTGAATTTAGATTGTTATTAAATATTTGACACATTATAGATTTCTGACACAGAATAAATGTGTCAAAGAACTTGAAATTGGTTGTATGATTTGAATTTATATTCAATTGAAGATTTCTTGCTGTTGTGCAATACACTGTGCTGTTGCGCAATACTTAGTAAATCTGTTTTCAGACTATATACAAAGAATTAGCAAAATAAATTGTGACCCCCAATTTTTTTCTTTGGGAAATTGACAATTTCTTAAATCTTGAGGGGATAAAAATCCCCCCCCCCCAAAAAAAAATATTTGTTTATCCCCCCTCCAAAAAAAATATTATTTGAAGAGAATTTTTGTTTTGAGGAAAATCAATTGCCACCCCCCCCCCCCCCCCCCCCCCCCAAAAAAAAAATTTTTTTTTTTTACCCCCCTCTTAAAAATTAATTTTGAAGAAATTTTCTTTTGTAAAATGTGGTACAAATTAAGAGACATCCATACACCTTAAAACAAGTTATTGTCTGAAAACTAGAAAAATGCTTGTTTTAGACCCTTTTTGGCCCCTAATTCCTGAACGGTTTGGGCAATTACCCCCAAAATGAATCCCAACCTTCTACTTGTGTTATTAAATTTTGTGGTACAATTTCAGAGCAATCAAAGTACTTATACACAACTTATTGTCCTGAAACAACCCCATTTCTCGGAAATGTAAAATCTAAAATTTATGAAAAACGAAAGGGAGCTCACGTCAATAGATATATACAATTCACTACAGTTTTATGCAAATTGGGTAAAGCGTTTTTGAGTTAATGTCCGACATGTTGACGACGGACGGACAGACGGATGGACAGACAGAAAGACAACAGTATACCATAATACGTCCCATAAACGGGCGTATAAAAATGCTTGTTTTGGCCCCTTTTCTGCCCCTAATTCCTAAACGGTTGGGACCATCACCCCCAAAAACAATCCCAACCTTCCTTTTCTGGAATTGAACCTTTTGGTTAAATTTCATAGAGATCCATACACTTAAACTAAACTTATTGTCCAGAAACCAAATGTCTTCGACGACGACGACAACGTGATACCAATAAAAATGAAATCAAACCAGATCTTGTCAGAATTTGTTTATTTATTTCATTACAGCTATGAAAGAGGTGTTTTGTATTCCAAATATAATTCTTAACTTATATCTAAAACACAAAAAAACCCTTAAATAACATTTACCCTCTTCTGGTGGTCTTGACCTTTGAACTCTTATTGTAGGTTTTTCTTCCTCTATCTTTTCATATGATGGGGAGATCTGTTGTAAAACTGGTTCCTCTTTTGTGACTGTTTCTTCAGTCTTGTTATATGATGTGTATGTCCTATGGTAAGAAGACTCCTCAGTATGTTTAGTTTGTGGAATAATCTGCTCTTCTATTGCAGCCTCTTCTCTTTCTGTGTGTTTCTGAAAAAAGGAGGGAATCTTATATATATATATATATCCCTTTTTTATTTAGGTTTTCAATCATTTAATACAGCCATTCTCCAAGCATAGAATAAGTTTGGTGGAAAAGGTAATTTCTATGAAGGCAATAACCTAATTTTCATTAAGTTTGCATATCTATTTACCATTACAAGAAATCTGCCTGATAACATATTTCATTTAAATACATATTTATACTAACGCAGTTATAATTAAGTTTAAATTAATTGTTTAGTTGTTATTTTTGTTAGATAAAGTTATTTAAATTTTTACCTCTTCATTTGTAGATGATTTTGCCCCTGACATTTGCTCCATGATCCATTCTTTTTCACGTCCTAATTCTGTCAGTATACTTGTCTTCTGTAAACAAACACAATGTTTTTATAAGTTTTTATTTTTTTGTAGAAACCTATTTAACTTTTATAATTAATTAACTTGAACAAGTTTTTTTCGAAGTACTGGTAAATTCAGAAATGATGGGTGCATTTATTATTGGGATTGTTGAAAATGTAATCAGAATTCAAAATACAAGATTTTTTTACTTTTTGTGAAAACTATTTAGTTGAAATTAATGCATCACAAAAATTACTGAATTTATGTATTTTATGACCCTTGTCCTTTAATAAAAAAAATTACAAGATATTTTGGTAATGTGGCTCTTCACCTAATCATAGAAAGACAATGAAAGTGTGATGGAAAAAAGAATAGATGGACAGATGTTTGTACATCAGGATCATCGGGTAAAAAAATCACTATTGGCAAATATCTTTTCAAATGAGAAGACAGGGACTTCTAGAGAGCTGATATTTAAAGAGAACTTACTTGGCTTCCTGTAAAAACAGTGCCCAACTTATATAATGAAAGTTCTTATTAAAAACATATTGTAAACAGTTTAATAAATTAATACCGGTTCAGTGTCTTCTTGAGAATTAAAATTATAATTCCTTTGCCTCCTTCGTTGATACGGTGGTAGTGATGTATCCATCTCATTTGTCTTTGGTGAGGATTCTATGACTTTTGTGACTGTTGTTGTTATAACTTCCTCCTTTGGAGGAGCACTCTCAATAGTTTTCTCTGGAGATGGTCTAGTTCTTGCAGAGAATTCATGGGTAGATCTTGCAAACCGTGGTGTTTCATCTGTAGCGGAAGACTCTGTAGTTCTAGCAGATGGTGAAGGGTCATGTGACCTTTGTGGTGAATCTTGGGAAGATGGTGATTCTGTTCTACGAGATAAAGATGATGTTTGATAGGATGATCTTGTTCTCTGTGTAGTTTCAGGAGTTGACGGAGACTGGGATACCCTAGATGATGTCCGTGAAGATTTGAATGTTGACTTTGTAGTGTAGGAGGTGTCAGGTTCTACAGAGGAATTTATAGAAGGATGGAAAGCATCATCATCATCATCATCATCCTCGTCTTCTTCTTCTTCTTCTTCTTCTTCTTCGGAGTCCTCTGTAAAAACAAACAATTGTATTTAGAATTAAATTGAGGTCACAATACAAGTTAAAATTGAAAGTTTTCAAATATTAATATTTTTTCTGCTTGTAGAAATTAAGATCTATTAGAGAGTTATCAAAATACAAGTCACCATTTAAGTGAACCCATATTCTTTCCATTCTAGCAGCACTTGAAATATCACTTTTCATCAATCAACTTTTTATAGGATATATATATTGATATCTTCATTTTAAAAGATTCCAATAAATGATTACATACAGGTTAGAGAGGTTTCTCCATCAATCATAAACCTTTTAGACAATCTCATAATCTTATAAGGATTATTTTGAATCTTTTATATATTCAAGTTTTAATTAGTTTTCCTGAATTTTTACCTCATGAGTAGTTTGCCTAATTTTACTTTTATTTGATATGCATACAATGTTGTACGTACGGTTGCCTATAATTGCTTACATCCACCTCATACCATACCAAGAATATCCTCTTATTTCTATATCATGTGTATGTTGTGTAAAAGTTTTCATTTTGTACAAATTATAATTTGTACAATAAAATTGAACAAATTATATTTTGTATGTTAACTTTGTACAACTTAAAGAACCTTAGTGAGCACGCTCACATACCCCACGTCCCCACATTGTCATTGGAGAAATAAAATATGTGTAAGGAAAAAAAATTGTATAAGTAAAAAAATTGAGTCATAATTTCCTGTCAATATGCACATGTACATAGTATGTCCTTATTATCTACAAAGTTTCATGAAATTATGTTGTGTGGTTTCAGAGGAGTTGCGATGACAAACTGTTGCAGAAGTACATTGAAGCAAATAAGTTCAAAGGGGCGTAACGCCTAGAAAAAAAATTGAATTATTATTTCCTGTTGATATTCACATCTACATAGTATGTCCTTATTATCTACAAAGTTTCATGAAATTCTGTTGTGTGGTTTCAGAGGAGTTGCGATGACAAACTGTTGCAGTAGTACATTGAAGCAAATAAGTTCAAAGGGGCGTAACTCCTAGAAAAAAAATTGAACCGTAATTTCCTGTCGATATGCACATCTACATAGTATGTCCTTATTATCTAAAAAGGTTTCATGAAATTCTGTTGTGTGGTATCAGAGGAGTTGCGATGACAAACTGTTGCAGTAGTACATTGAAGCAAATAAGTTCAAAGGGGCGTAACTCCTAGAAAAAAAATTGAATCGCAATTTCCTGTCGATATGCACAACTACATAGTATGTCCTTATTATCTAAAAAGGTTTCATGAAATTCTGTTGTGTGGTATCAGAGGAGTTGCGATGACAAACTGTTGCAGTAGTACATTGAAGCAAATAAGTTCAAAGGGGCGTAACTCCTAGAAAAAAAATTGAACCGTAATTTCCTGTCGATATGCACATCTACATAGTATGTCCTTATTATCTAAGAAGGTTTCATGAAATTCTGTTGTGTGGTATCAGAGGAGTTGCGATGACAAACTGTTGCAGTAGTACATTGAAGCAAATAAGTTCAAAGGGGCGTAACTCCTAGAAAAAAAATTGAATCGCAATTTCCTGTCGATATGCACAACTACATAGTATGTCCTTATTATCTAAAAAGGTTTCGTGAAATTCTGTTGTGTGGTTTGAGAGGAGTTGCGATGACAAGAAACAGGACTGACGGACTGACGGACTGAAGGACAGACGGACGGACGGACGGGTAAAAAACATTATACCCTCCGCAACTCGTTGCGTGGGGTATAATTACAATTACAATTATTGTAAATATATGAAAGGCCATTTTTTCTATCATGTTAGATTATCAAATATCCTTTGTATAAACTATATGTAAATTTTAGTCAAATTTTGTACAAATTGTAATTTGTACAAGCACTTTTTACAAATTGTAATTTGTACAAATTCAAAATACAAATTATAATGTGTTACAAAATGATAACTTGTACACAACCTATATACAGGTATATCTTCATTTGCCAAATTTTAATTGGAACTGTAAAACTAATTCTTGTAAAGTTGCAAATTTTTAATTTTCAATTTTCAATCAATAGACATGGTAAAGTTAAGATGCAAGTAGAGAGAATTACATGACATGTATACATAGAGAGAATAATAAAATGTCATAATTCAAACGTTAACTGATGTCAAATTTACAAACTATTACAAAACCTATATGCATTAGACAAAAAATCTCCCACAATCCATGTTTATAATTTTATATCAAGATTCCAATATGACATGGTATTTAACTCATCACTTTCTTTTACTATTGATCATTAAGGTGTGGATAGCTATTAAAATATTTTCAACATGTAATTTACATGTTTTCAAGTCACACCTACACATATTGTTTTGAAAAGACGGCGTAATTAAGGCTATGTAAAAAAATTAACTGGTATGAAGATACAACATGCATTCTATTAATCATCAAGTATGAATTAGTCCTCACTGACTGCATGATGTCTGACATAATTGCCTCTTTTGTCATTCACAATTTTGTAAATATATAGGTAAAAATAAAATAAATTCACGTAAGATCTACCAGCAATGAGCTCTTTTAGTGTTTGTTATTCCATAGCAATTATAAAAATAAAATGCTCCGCAAGGCGCAGCTTGATACGACCGCAGAGGTCGAACCCTGAACAGTTGGGGCAAGTATGGACACAACATTCAAGCTTGATACAGCTCTGAATTTGGATTGTGATTAAATATTTGACACAGCATAGGTTTCTGACACAGAATGAATGTGGTCTAAGAACTTAAAAATTTTAAATTGGACATTCACCTATTATGGTCCAATATCCAAAATCTAAATACATGGTTAGATTCAGCATATCAAAGAACCCCAAGAATTCAATTTTTGATGAAATCAAACAAAGTTTAATTTTGGACCCTTTTGACCTCAATGTGGACAAAGTTGATAACGGGGCCCAAAAATCAAAAATCTAAATACATGGTTAGATTCAGCATATCAAAGAACCCCATATATTCAATTTTTGTTGAAATCAAACAAAGTTTAATTTTGGACCCCGATTTGGACCAACTTGAAAACTGGGCCCATAATCAAAAATCTAAATACATGTTTAGATTCAGCATAACAAAGAAACCTAAAAATTCAATTTTTGTTAAAATCAAACTAAGTTTAATTTTGGACCCTTTGGACCTTAATGTAGACCAATTTGAAAACGGAACCAAAAATTAAGAATCTAAATACACGGTTAGATTCGGCATATCAAAGAACCCCAATAATTCAATTTTTGATGAAATCAAACAAAGTTAAATTTTGGACCCTTTGGACCTCAATGTGGACCAATTTAAAAACGGGGCCCAAAATCCAAAAACTTAATACACGGTTAGATTCAGCATATTAAAGAACCCCAAGAATTGAAGAATAAAACCCCATTGAAATTGATCAAGAAATAAGCAATTTATACGAAGTATCTTCTTTTGCACAATACTGTGCAATTGAATATTTCTTGCTATTGCGCAATACTGTACAATTGACAATTCTTGCTATTGCGCAATATTATGCTATTGGATATTTCTTGCTATTGCGCAATACTGTGCAATTGAAGATTTCTTGCTATTGCGCAATACTGTGCAGTTGAAGATTTCTTGCTATTGTGCAATACTGTGCAATTGAAAATTTCTTGCTATTGCACAATACTTATTATATAATAATTTACACATCCTGTTTGGTGTGTATCTCCTACCATATCATTATTATTTGCTTTTAAATATTAATCAGAAATAACCAACTTAAAATGGAAAATTTTAAAACAAAAAAAAAAATGAAAAAAAGAAAAAAAAGAAATCCCCCCCCCCCCCCGAAATTTTTTGAACCACCTTATGATTCATCACCCCCAAACTCAATCCCAGCCTTCCCTTTGTGGTATGGTACCTTGCAGTACAATTTCAGAGAGATCCATACACTTGAACACAAGTTATTGTCTGGAAACTAGAAAAATGCTTATTTTTGGCCCCTTTTTGGCCCCCAATTCCTAAACGTTTCGGGCAATTACCCCCAAACTCAATTCCAGCTCTCCCTTTGTGATATGGAACCTTGTAGTACAATTTCAGAAATATCCAAACACTTACACACAAGTTATTGTCATGAAACTAGAAAAATGCTTGTTTTTTGCCCCTTTTTTGGCCCCTAATTCCTAAAATTTTGAGGCAATTACCCCCAAAATCAATTACAGCCTTTCCTTTGTGATAAGGAACCTTGTGGTACAATGTCAGAGAGATCCATACACTTACACACAAGTTATTGTCTGGAAGTTACAAAAATGCTTATTTTTGGCCCCTTTTTGGCCCCTAATTCCTTAACTGTTGGTACCATAACCCCCAAAATCAATCCCAACCTTCCTTTCATGGTATTGAACCTTATGGTAAAATTTCATGGAGATCCATTCACTTAAACTAAAGTAAGAGTGCGAAAACCAATGTGTCTTCGGACGACGCCGGACGACGACGACGACGACGCCAACGTCATACCAATATACGACCAAAAAATTTTTAATTTTTGCGGTTGTATAATAACCACCAAAATAAGACAAAGTTTTCCTTTTTAGCTCACCTGGCCCGAAGGGCCAAGTGAGCTTTTCTCATCACTTTGCGTCCGTCGTCCGTCGTCCGTCGTCGTCGTCGGCGTCGTCGTCGTCGTCGTCCGGCGTCGTCTGTTAACTTTTACAAAAATCTTCTCCTCTGAAACTACTCGGCCAAATTTGACCAAACTTGGCCACAATCATCATTGGGGTATTTAGTTTAAAAAATGTGTCCGGTGACCCGGCCAACCAACCAAGATGGCCGACATGGCTAAAAATAGAACATAGGGGTAAAATGTAGATTTTGGCTTATATCTCTGAAACCAAAGCATTTAGAGCAAATCTGACATGGGGTAAAATTGTTTATCAGGTCAAGATCTATCTGCCTAACTTTTCAGATGAATCGGACAACCCGTTGTTGGGTTGCTGCCCCTGAATTGGTTATTTTAAGGA